GTCTGCAACACAGGGAAAGACCCGTGGATGAACAACTGTCAAGAACGGGAAAAGGATCGTGCATCTCACTTTGGGCAGCTTTCATCTAAGCCCCTGCAACCAGGGCATCCAGCGACTTCTATGTTGTTGCCATGCAAATGCCGAGAACCACTTCCATCAACGGCAAAGAAGATTCAAGCTGCCCTTACGTGTGGCACAAGGAAAGACCCGTGGCCATATTGCTCACTGCATGTACACGGGGCTTGACTTGTGAGCAGTAGTCTTGACAGCGTTAAGGGGGCATCCTCCGACCGCAGAAGTACATGAGGAGCCCAGCTCAATGTACTGCCTTGTGTCACACTGGCCACACCCCGCCTGATTTCGCGACCCAGATCGTCTGCAACACAGGGAAAGACCCGTGCATGAACAACTGTCAAGAACGGGAAAAGGACCGTGCATCTCACTTTGGGCAGCTTTCATCTAAGCCCCTGCAACCAGGGCATCCAGCGACTTCTATGTTGCTGCCAGGCAAATGCCGAGAACCACTTCCATCAACGGCACAGAAGATTCAAGCTGCCCTTACGACCTCTGCCCTGCACCAGTCTGCGACAAGTTTCAACGACTTGACTTGGCTTCATTCAGGTCTGCTGAAACATCTTGGGGCCGCGCTTCCTCAAAACACGGTGAAGCGGCTGCCTGAGCGGCAGGGTGAGCACTGCAAGAAGCCCAGAAAAAAACATGGCAGCCGGAAGGCCTCAGGTGCTTTTGAGGATTTTCAATGAAAAAGTTGTTCACCTCGGACATCTTGTCGAGGACCTGGAGCGATGTGCGAACCACTCCGGACCGTGCCCACGGCCTTCTCTCCCAGTGGTCTCCCAACAAATCCACCACCCCCAGCAGGCACCAGTAAGGCTTCGCATGCAGCGGACTTGCAGTTTGTGCACAGATTGACCCCTGTCAGTGAGAGTGCTTGTCAAGGCATGACACCATCGGAAGGATTGCAAAACGTCGATTCTTGCATCAGACGGAAGCTATATCGAGCTGCGACGCACTCATTCATTCATGCATCCGTTCATTCGTTCATTCGTCGGTTGGTTCATTCATTCCTTAGTGCCTCAACTCCTTGCTTCCTTCATTCCTTCATCCATCCATCCTTTCAGGGTTGGGCTTGGCTCGGATTGGTGTCTGTCATTCTCCCTGTAGATGAACGTCAATAGGTTTCGGATCGAATTCCCGACTTCCCCTGCGGGCGCGGGTCATGTGGCGTGGCTTGATTCCGAGTGACATCAAGCCCAAATTTGGGGAACAACAGTCGCGAGTCGCGAACCCACTCGACCCATCTCTCAGTGTTGGCATTGTTGAGACATCGACGTCATCTTCCTGGGATGAATTCTTGAGACGTCGGCATCCAAGACGACTACAACTGCGAGGAGTTCAGCCCCAATCCACTTCATCCGTGGCACCGTTGGAATGTTTTCGGGGCGGCATGGACAAGTCAAGAAAACCGACGACTGACTGCTGCCATGCTTGTTTACATTCTAGCAGTGTTGAAGTCCAAAACAACGACGGCGATGCCACAAGGGATCCGGCTCCAACCCCCCACATTCCTGTGACTGCTGCCAATTAAGTCATCGCAAGTAGGTGTCCAGAAAAATGTTACGCGCACTCCCTCCCCAAGCACACACAACCACACACTATGAGACCACACTGTCATGGGCGGAAGCTAGCCGCATGACCATGCCAAAAGTCTATATCTATGTACGCATGCATTTATATATCTATTGATTTATTTACCTATATATTACATTTATATCTCTATATATATATATACAACACGTTGAAATAGATATCATGAACATCAAAAACGAACGAGAAATGATTTGTGTGAATAATTTTGGTATAGTCTTGTGTCCGCACATCGTCTCCCTCGTCATGTCCATTATCGAACAGTATCGCAACAAGACCGCGACTGGTCTAGCAACCGTTTTGCAGCGCCCAAGCCTCCGAGACAATGTAGTCTCTCCAGTGGCGTTCCAAAATCACCGCCACATCCTGGACGACAAGGCAAGACCCTTACCGCACAGCTCAGCAAAGCTGCGCTCCAAGTGTCGAGTACCTCGCCTTGCGATGCTCCTCCATGTGATGGATGAAGTCGCTTGGAACGAATGAGCGCCACCTGGGGTCCACAGCCTTAGCCCATGAGTTTGTTGCCGGCTTTCTTTCAAGCCAACCTGGGGTCCAAGCTGCACCATTCGGACCTGCAGCTTTGGGTCTTCTCACTCCATGATCCAAGCTGTGTGCTGCTTTACCGCTGCCCTGCTCCGCCTCGGGCTGTGCCCTTGTCCCCGACTTTTCCGCAGCGCGTGGTGTCCAGGATCCGGTGGCGATGGATCTCAACAGTACATGCAAGGGTAAGGGCTCTTTGCGCTGTTTCTTCGTAGACCGATATAAGAATGGACGGGGAAGTGACAGCCGCCTGCCTCTTCGCCAAAACGACGCCAGACGGCCATGGTCACGATCTCGGGCAACGTGGGCGAAAAAAACGAATCGCCGGCAGAACACCGACACGCTCTATGCTTTCACTGGTCAGCATTTCCGGTGCGACTGTGCATCATCATGGTAGAACTGCACACATCTCACCATATAGCGAAACGAGAGACCTCAGAAGTCTGGCTCGCCGCATTGGGCTGAGCACGTTGACCCGAACAGATCAGTGATGGAATCTGCACGCTGCTCGCTTCTGCCGAGCAGGAACTGTCTGCTGCTACACCCATACGTGCAGCTGTGGGCAGCAGCAAGTCCCGCGAACACGTTCTGGACAAGATGCAGGCCCCGCAGAGCCCGCCGTCGCCCCTGACTGGCGCTGCCAGGGCTTCAGCGCACTGCAACGGCGCGGGACTCTGCATCTCGCGGCTCTCCAAGGCTCAGAGCTCACGGCTCAGGGCTGCACAGCTCACTTCTCGTGGCAGGTCTTCTCAGAGGCGGCTTTGGACTCAGAGATTTGTGGACGACGAACCTTCCACCTTCGCGGCACTTCACACTGCAAAGCACCACAGGAACCGCCCCCCCAAACCCCGAATGCAGCATGTCCCTTGGGAGCTGGCATAAGGAGCAGGGCAACTGCCAGCGCCACGGCCTGCAGGGACTAAGCCGGATCGCCCACTTCGGTAATGCCATGTAACGTGAGAGTCTGCAGGCCGGGAGCCTGTACAATCAAGCCCATGGCAAACGCCGGACGCCAGCATGTGGTGCCGTGGCAAAAGCTGCCTCGCGATTTTCGAAGTTGACTTCGGGAGCAGGTTGACGAGCACGGATCTTTGCACAGCAGGCTGGTACCATCGAAGTGCCTTCGCCTTGCAGCTCGGCCTGAGCATCGTAGAGACCTCCCACCTGCCGGCCAGGGCACGTGATCAGGTATCGCAGATCCCTCAATCTGAATGCTCTGTGTTTCCGCTCGCACTCCCCACCGCGTAGGATGTCAGCAGCACGGCCAGCGCGATGTGGCCACTGTGGATGTTAAACATCACACCAACCTGATGATTCCAGTTTCAGCACTCGCCATGCGAAGTGGACCCAGAACTGGCAGCAGGTGGCTCCCGTGCTTTACTGCAGCCAAGGATCGTGCGAACCGTAAAACCGCTTGGATATGTACGACGGCATGATTGCCTTGGATGCTCGTGTTTCAGTCGATTCAACGTTTTTGTTGTCGTAAATCCTTGGCAAGCCTGACAAAAACCCCTCCCTCAGTCAGGCACCCAATTGGAGCCATATGCCGCAGCAATCACTGCCAACGCCGGCAGAAGCATAGCAGGGACAATCTGCACACGACATGAGACAGAGCTTGAAGTGAAACATCTGCTTCTTCACACAGCCCCGCCTCCTCCGGGAGCATGAAGAGAGCAACAGAGGCCAGAATCACGGCAAAAGCACTCAGGAGGATATGGTCCGACCGATGGATGCCTCGTTACGACAGAGCTTGCCCACTTGTCATCTTCATCGTTGCACTGCGGCGTTCTCCATGGCCTCGCGGCTCCAATGTGTCCATGGCCAGACCACTGAAGATGCGACCCAGAGAGTTGCAGTACGACCTTCTGAACAGGAACGTGCCGCAAGACGATATCAGTTCTGGCATTGATACTGCTGCCGGTTTTCCACTGTCTGTTTCAGCTTCGCGACACGGTGCGAACATAAACTGGCCGACTCTCTGGTGAGATACCCAGCGAGTCCCCGATCCTGCAGCAAAGACAGGCTGGTGACACATGCTCACAGTACCATGGTAATTAGGAAGCAGCATGCGCAGAAGACCTAGACCTGTCACCACTTGAGAGCCTGAAGCTACCGGATTACAGGTCCCCATGCCACGCCGCCTTCATATCCGCCTGCCTGAACATATCATATGCAATCTACCGCGCACCGGCTTCAGGTGAAAATGTGCTGCTTACCTTACTTTCCTGCACGCTCGCTCATAAGCAGTCACTCTTGCTTCAGGTGAGGGGTTTTCCAAGCAACTCGGAGCTTTGAGGCCGGACACTTTTGGGCTCAAGGTCGATCCTTTCTTGGGTTTAGGGTTTAGGGTTCAGGGAGATCAAGAAGAAGCCCAGGAGCAGCGAGAGATTGGCGATGTAGAGGCCAGAGCCAATGCTTTGGACCAGGACAAAGGGCAGCAGAAACAGCCAGAAATCAGCCCGGCACCTTGGCAACAGTCAGCAGGTACTCAAAGAGACTAGCATGGCCTGTCCGAGAACATCCAAGAGCTTGACGCAATATTGCGGTTGGATACACCGGCTGCCAACTTGTAAGTTGCATTGTGGACATGGAAGCACAACAGCGTCCAAGTCCTAGGGCCCTTGACCTCTCAGGCCGCTTCAGGGCATCTGAGATGTCGTGGTTGGACAATTCTTTCCAGGAGATTGTTCCACAAGCTTCTGGGTTTGAGGTTTCTCAACTCTGCATGTCCAGTTTTTGGATATGTTTGTTTGTCGCCGGGATTCGGAATCTGCTGTTTCTTTGGACTCGCTTGCTGGCTTCTTTTCGTCCTTGTGTCATTCCTTCCCTTATCAATTCCTTCCCGGCTCGCTTTCTTTGCCCGGAAATGTGACGAAACATGCTAAAACTCACACTGATCAGAACGAAGCACCGCGACCAGTCCCCAGATGGTAAGAAGCTGATGCCTTCGAGCTACAGACCTAAAGTCGAGACACCCCGTCCCAGTAAGCGCAGCGCAAGATATCGCGGCGGCTCAGTGATGGCGAAGGAGATGCAGGAGCTGGAGCGGCTTCCGGAAGCTCCTCTTGCTCTTGGCGCCCGTACCTCACAAAGTAGAAGAGATCACGGCCCGGGATGCACCGAAAAAAAAGAGAAAGACAGGGGAGTGTCAGGGACCACATTTAATCAACATCGCAGATGGCGCAACTTCCTTGCAGCTGGTCACGTTGTGGCTGGTGGTGGTGAGCGTCCCCCAGCCTTTCGAGGGCACAGCGAAGCTTTGCATCCATTGCAAGACGGTCGAGCGTACACGCCTCGTCCTTGTGTTCTAAGCGACCATAGGCGGTTGCACGAGACCCGCCACGAAGCAGCCTTACCAGAGCAAGTGCTTTTGTACCCTGGTCGACGTAGAGATCCGTAGGTTGGTGCCGGTGACCAGGAGCACCCTTGCTGGATGCATCCTGGGCACGGCATAGTGCAAGCAGCCACCAGGCCAGTGGCAGAGAAAAGCAATGCAGTTCCCTTGAAGTAGGCATCCAGGTCCTGCAGCTTCAAGTCTCACTAGACAAGGATTGAAGCTGCGTCCATGGAGGGTGTTGGGGTATGGGAGTGTGCGGTGTGTCTTTGTGACTGTTTGCTGCGGCTCTTTCACGAAAGATCAAGCAAATGTCGAATCCGGTTGAAATTCCAGAGGCACAGGAGTGGTCAATATTCGAAGCATCCGGAAATGATGCAAAACAACAGCCATCAAATTGAGAAGCAGCAGTGTGCCTTTTCGACACACAGCCTTTCATCGTCAAAAACAGATCCTGATACACACTCATGCCGCAAACAGCAGGATCTAATTTTCGGTCTAGAAAATAGTTGGTGTTTGCTGTTGCTGCCTTGCGCGTATATAGTTCGCCGGAGATGGATGTTTCTGCAAGCGATTTGGGCAGCGACTGTCAGAACTCGTAATTCTCCGAGGCCCTATGTGGCAAGCTGGGCCAGGCCTAGTAGATCAGCTTCTTTCAGATATGTCCCATGTTGGTAGCATCCTACGTAGTCGTCCTAGCCGTATTTCCAAAGAATTCCTTGCCTGGTCCCTGGCATAAGCACCCGGATCCAAAGAGAAAGCCGGGATCTCAAGGCCCGACGAGCTCGTAGCTGCCCTGTGTCCTCCTGAAAGAAAGCGAAGAGGAGAGTGACGAAGGCAGCAGATAGGCCGTAGCCCGAGGAAACGATGCCGGTGATAATGCCCTGAGCACTAAGATATTGCTAGTCTTGTTAATATTATCACTCTTATTATCTATTACTACTTTTTTTAACTATGACTATTATGATGCTTAAGGACAAGATGGCCCACATTGGAACTAGCCACGATTTTGGCTGGATGGCACTTACAAAACAGCATGTCAACAACTGTCCAAATCTTCCTGCCGGGCACCTGCATCTTTGGCGGGGCTTCCACGATATTCGTGAAGAGGCCGGCTTGAAAAATTGCCACGGAGCCCTGTGCCAGCCCTAAACCCTAAACCCTAAACCGCTGCTCAACTACAAGTCTCAGCATCTCCCTCTTATCGCAGCGAGAGCCGTTCCCTTTTCGACTACGGGCCGACTATTACCTTAATTAAAAAACCAGGAACCCCACAGAAAAGTATGCGTAACTATGGAGGCCCTTATATTATAGGGCTTCGGATTGCGTAGCAAGACGCTTGTTTGCATGGTTTCCCAACCCCTTTAAAAGGGCATGTGGGGTGATTCAGGCGTGGCTTCTCTCCTCCTACTGTGTGATCGCATGTCGCATGCAAAAACACCACTCGCCCGACCTGCATCAGCCTTTCGCATGTGAGTAGTTTCGCTCGCATGACTCCGTACTATCACGCGAACAGAAGCAGAACAATACCCGGAGATTGTTTAAGCTTGCTTGTCCACGGTTCGGACGGGTGCATGGATTGCGGTTTTTCATAACTTCCCCTGGCCCACCTCTGGCATCTACAGCATGTGTTTTCCCGTGGTTGTCTTCAACATCATCTGTCTTTGTAGCAGAAGCATCTAAGCGGTCCATTGCACGCAACGCAGTCACGGAGGCAAGTCGCGCACAAGTCCGAAGTCCAGGTGGGCGAGTGTCCGCCAAAGCCCGGGCAAGAGGGTGAAAGCCGTGCGAGGATGTTGGAAAAGCAGACGGCTTCACGAGTTGTTCCAAAGGCAAACCCTCCTCCGAGGTGCGCCTGCTGCACCAGGAAGTACCACGTGGCCAATGAAGAGACACCTCCACATTGATCGCCACTGAGCATGCTGGCGAGGCCAAGGTTCCCGGCGGCTGTGAAGGCTGCACCTCATGCGCTCAGACTCCCACGATCTCAAAATAGGCCCTGGCTGGGGGAGCCACCATAAAGGCTTGTCCCCACCGGGCCATACAGATCGAAGAGTGTGCCCGGGACGATGCCCAAACCCACACCGGCCTTGCAGATTCGTCTCAGCTCATAGCAACGAAGACTTGAAGCTTGTTACGGCAAGTTCCACATCCTGCCTGGCCGGCCGCATAGACGACATCCAGTTGCTGCGCCGTCAGACTACATCTGGTCATGATCTGCACCTCGAACCTGAAGATCGGCTTGTAATGGAAGGATGGCATGCCTTTTGAGGATAGACATGATAGACGTACAGGGGTCTAGTAGACGAAAGCCTGCTGGCAAGCTCTTGTAGCGGCAATCCTTACAACTGGGCCCCACCAACCTGGAGAAGGCATAGAGGCTGCCACCACATAGCGCCATCCAGGTTCCCAGAAGCAAGCGAAGCACCTGTCTGCATTCATTTAACAGCCGACATCGATAATCACGGTAAGCCCACCGCCTTAGCCTTCCCTGGTCTTCGAAACAGCTCGTATTTGCCATTGTCGTACGAGTTGAATCATTGTCAAGGACTTCATCAATCTATCCATATCAACCACATACACCTAGCTGGGAAACACGACAGGGCCCGCATCATTCGCCCGAGGAGCCACAGAAAACGATGTACAGCGACAAACTGATTTGTACCTTCAAGCAACGACTACAATTGAAGCACCACGACGAATACTGAGAAGTTTCATCGAGTTCAGTATGAGCTAAACATGCCCGTTCTGATCACGATAGCAATCAAGCGGCATATATCAAACACTCATGTTGCCAACTTTTCGCCATATGCTTACAGACGTCGCGTTCACATGCTGAATATCAAAGTGATACTTGCACTGAGCTCAGTTGCTGATTGTGCGAATCACAGCATGCAACCGGTGTTGGTGAGGCAAATCACGCTGTTGCGCCCGACGAGAGGACTGACGGAAGGATACCGAAGACTTATCTTAACCTTCCATCATTTACATCTGCCGCAACACGGTACTGGTCCTGGTGGTGGTAGAAACAGCAATATTTGCTTTAAATGGGTCTAAGAAAACAATACGTAGGCCACACAGTCAGTAATTGCATCATTGCGTGAGTCAGAATATGGACTCCTGTTTTCCAGAACAATGCACTAGCTTCGCACATTCTGATATCTTTAAACCTTAGACTGGAGGTGGCAGGCAACTGTTCGACATAAGTGTATCAAGGTCCGCTATCGCCTGCACCCACTACGAATGACAAACTTCATGCTTGAGAAACACGCCTGCTGTTTATCCTGTTCACAGAAAACGTCTGAGGAGGCTTGTAGAAACATTATAACACTTGGAACCTGCTAAACACGACACTGCAAAGCCTAATAATTGCAACGCAGACCCGCCATACAAAACTCAACGCACCCTGCCAGGTGTATTTTTCAAAAGCACTACTAATACTGGTGTTGCAACAGCAGCAACTACGAGAGAGATCAGATCAGTCAAGAGAACAACGAGTAAGACTAGCAACTGTTCATACCACAGTTACCAAGGTTACAATGCTGCTCGCATCCAGGGCATGAGGATCTTGCTAGCACATACAAGTCTTTTCATGACTCATGACAATGTCAGAACTACCAACAGAGAGGAAGAAGGTGGCGATCCCCACAAGGAACGGTGAAACACCCGCCGCCATGAATATTGCCATCACAGCATTGCCACAGTGACATCACCGTCATCATCAGAAGCGACCGTAAACATACAGTACTCACAGCACTAGGAGTCAACAGACAGGAACACTCACCACCACTCGCCAAGATGAGAGAGCATAACAACCACAGCAGAGTGTTTATGCTGACAGAAACACTGCTTATCAGGCAGCGAACCTGCTTGCAGGTGGCACCATTCTCCTTCAGCCATGCGGCAACCTGTGCTTCGCAGACAAGGATAGCCCACTAAATCCTGCATCGGGAAGCCAAGACATCCCTTGCTCAGAGGCTTCTCCGGGTCCACTCCATGATAACATCCTGTGAAAACTCCCAGCTTTACCAGCGAGTCGGCCTGTTCCATGCTTGGCACCTTTTGCCGGCAGTGGGCAAGAGACATCTGTCCCGCTTGGAGAAAGAGACCACCCCTCAGACGGCCGATCGATCGACAAACTCTACAGTTGGCACGTACTGCGCAGGCCGTTCTCGTCTGTGCACGGAAGATTGAACAGGTGCTGCACTTTGGCCGAACACCCTCCTGAAGCAGAACAATGCAATTGCCATGGCCACCAAGAAGATCAACACGACGCCCGCTCCGAGGAGCTCAGAGTGATCGTTTGCAGACTGAATCCACCGAAAGAACCAGCTTTGCAGGTTTGCCCTTTCGGCCAAAAAGCCCAGCATCTCTATCAGCCCAACGAGAATAGCTACCAAGCCTGAGGTCACGGTGACGAACAAATTGAAGTAGATCTTCTTCTTGTCATCCTCACAGTTACGTGTGCGAGCAGCGACTGTCGAGGACCGCAAGCTCACAAACAGTGCTCTCCACAAAACAGACTAGTCCTCTGCGGATGTGCGATAAATCCATGCCATCATCAAGCCATTCAGGGTGTCAAGGAGACACATTCCAGACATGAAAAGCAAGGGCAGAAGCAAGATGCAGATGGGCGCAGCGAGGCCATGTGACACAGCTACCACACCCAATAGCCCCACCTCCGTGGATGTGTCAAAGCCAAGTCCGAATAAGAATCCGACAATCAACATGTGCCACGGTTTGGAAATTGCTTGGAAGAGTCGCGGACAACATCTCAACCACAAGCCCATAGTTGCATCATGGCTGTGGTCGCCACCTCCCTTCCATTCCATCCAGAGCTGCCAAGCCGTGTACAAGTTGAGGATGCCGAGGGCGAGCAGGAAAGTTGAAGAAATTGCCAGGCCAAACACACTGCCGTATGCGTGGAAGGTGCTCAGCATGTTTTTCATGAAACTCTTTGTCAACAAGATGCCGCAGCAGGCAAGCAAAACCACAAGAGAATGCCCAAGAGCAAAGAACCTCGGTCAAAGCAACGGTGCAAAGCCAAAGCTCGGCAGAGTAGGCCCTCCGGACTACGACTACAGTTACTACACCCTGCGACAGCGGGAAAGTCACAGAATCGGCCAGAGAGCATTCCCACTGTGTGCGGGCTGCTCTTCTTGACCGTCAGCTTTCGTGTGATGTTGTCTATTGCAGCCTTGCAAGACAGGATGACACGAAGATCTCTTACTGAAAACGACTGGGAGGGCCTTGCGGATCCAGGGGAGGAGCACTTGTTATAGCAACCGTCGCGGCGACAGAAGGACTAGCAGTGTCGCCGGTTCAACAGACAATTGCTCAGGAAAGCAAAGCGGCGATGTGATCCACATCGAACGCATGTCGAAGCCCAAACGAATATGCGAGCAGTCCTGAAGCCACCAATTCCGGTACCAACGTCAAAGTTCCAAATAACACGAGGGTGAGCAGCAGGATCACAACCTATCTGCATCTGGCCGTGATTAAAATGCACATGAACTGCTGCAGGCTGAGCTTCAAGCCGGCAACTTCAATCCAGGACGAGGTGCTACGATCAAAGTCGAGCTTCGTCGTCGTCGACTCTCCAGCCTTCAAGGGTTCAGACTACACCATCAGAGTCCCTACCAGTATCAGAAAATAGCACTTCAAACCGCAACCGCGGACCCAGAAGAGCTGGATGAGTCGTCCGACTCGACATCGCTCATGGGCCCCATGGCTCGGAAAGGAAGTTCCAAGGACGGACTAGCGCTTCTAGGCAATGCGGGAGCAGCGTGTAACAAGGTCTTTAATGACCATTGGCAGGGGCTGACTGTGCAAGCTGATATGCTCTCGTGATAGCTACCCGGGCACACTTGCTTCGATCTGCATCTGGAAACGGAATGTTCACGGGTCAAGGCCTGGACTTCACAAATGCAAAAAAAACGAAATCATCCGATCCGAGTGGCACCCCTCCAATGTCCTGCAACCGGAACTGCCATGGCATCGCCGGAGAGCAGGTTAAGGCCAGAAGTGCGGAGAATCAGAGTCGAGCTACCTAGTGCAGCTGCTGCTGATATTGACCTGTAGTGAAAGACTCACCTACAATTCGGAGCCTCAGTTGGAACGCAGTGCAAGACAAATTCCAATCGCCGTCTGCAACCACAGTTTGAGCACAAACTCATGGTATCGCGACGATGGTGCGAGGATCTTCTGCGGTGTCATGCCACACTGACTCCCCTGGGCTTGCGACATTTACATTTCTCGAAATCGTCGGCTGCTTGACGAGCTGAGCCGCGATGTCCAGAACTCGCTCCTCAGCAGCCTGGCAGAGAAATCTCGGGCGGGGCGCTCACGGTCGTCATCTCTCTTGAAAACTACAGGAGTAGCTGCAACATGCTGCAACTACATGTGTCCTGGTGGGCCACCAGACCAAACTGAGGCGGCACGGTAGGCAGGAAGCTCGTTAGCCTCAGCTAGCAAGAAATCGAGAGGACTTGGAGCAGAAGTTGGCACTTTGCCAAGCAGCAGGGGTGCGAAGGGCGTGTCATCCCGGACACAGGCATACCTGGAGGCTTGCGGCCGGGGCAGGTGCATTTCGGCCATGGGTGTCTTCTCTTGTTCGTTGAACACCACTGGGCGGCAGGCGGAGTTCCCATCTCCAGGATTAGATCGTTCTTCACCTTCGCCTTGGTGCACTTAGCATCGAAGATCCGGCCCGAACTCCCGAAGCCCAAGATCCGGCAGCCCCTTTGGACGGCACTCGGGAAGGTTGCGGACATCCGGTCTAATTGCATTTGTGCCGGAGTGCTGGTACGCCTCAGGCTGCCTGCATATCTAAAGCTTGGCCAAGAAACAAACTTCATTGAGAGGACGTAGTTCCTGGCAAAGTCGTGGAGATGCGACACAGACATGGCCAAAACGACAGGACGGGGGCCGGGCTCTTCGATCTCTCGGATGAGATCACGAATCTGGCCTTTCTTAGAGAGATCCTCTCTTGCGCAACAGAGGCGACCCATGATCGGCCGGGGCCCGGGCTCACGAAGCTGCCGGCATCCTCAAGGTGACTTCCATGAAGACCTCAGCACCGAAAGAAGCGTCGAGAAACATCACGCGCCGAAGCATCAAAACACGCATCTCAAAACACCTCCAAACACCTTCTTTATCTCGTTTCCATGGGCCACTGCCTTGTCGGATGAAACGCTCCTTCTGGTCGCGCAACATAGACGAGACCTAACCGGGCAAACGCTGCAGCGGGCCGGGGTGTTCGTTCCATTTGGCCGGTCAAGAGTTGAGAGTGTTCGTGCCCAGCCTGGCATCCGAAAGGTTGTGGTGAACTGTTTCGCTTCTGAAGCTTGAAGCTTTAAAAAGTGTCTGTGACGGGTTGATGTAGAAATATCTACCTTGCATCAATATCATCAATCTAGTGGCCTAGACTGCCAAGCAGCCAAACCATTGCCAACCGATGCATGATGCTTTATGATTCCGGGGTGCTCTCAATGAGGCCTAGAAGTACGAGGTTGAAAATATAGCACAGTGTGCTTGGACAAGCATGGGGACCCCAAACCCGAGCAATTCTTGGCGGTTTCAGGATACCTTGACAATCACTACAAGGGCAATTAGAAGGTCGGAAATCCACGGGTTGGCCATGACTTGAAATACTGGGACCCAATCTCACCCAAAGGTGAAGGTCCAAACCAAACACAAAGAGAGGAACAGATCCTCCTGTGCAGGACATTTCAGGACAATCATTTGGCTATGTCCATAGGGGTACCCCCAAAACCATGGTTTTCCTAGTCAAAATGATCAATTTGGGTGGATATTGGTACCATTAATATTAATGGACATACCCATTTTTCAGAGGGAGCGGAATCCAACGTGGCAAAGTTCAATGACTTTAAGCCAGTGAAAGGAAAACGAAGAGAAGACTTTGTCTCTGAAGGGACTTTTTTTCACAGGAGCAACATCAAAGCAAACTCCGAGATGCGGATGCTGCGGTATCGAAGGCCTTGTGTTTCCAAGAACTGGACCTCACCTTCTTGTGAATTTCCAAGGGTGCCATCTTGATTGGTTACCACAAAAAAGTCACAGCCATAACGAGCGGCTTCCAGTGTCTTCTCTTTCCACATTTTGAACCAGAAACAACCCCACTTTGGCTTCGTGCGATACTTCGGGTATGGATAGAGGTAATCGCAATGACAGCCATCTCGATGGACGGTGCCGTGGGGGCTATCCAAGTCCCTGCAATCATGACGTCCATACCCAGCTGATTTCTCGGTGGGTAAAAAAATGCACGTCGTGACGATGTCAGCATTTCCAAGAGTAGAACCTTGTGTCAATTGATTCCATCCATGGCCATGGACACCTGGGTAGCTCACAATTGCGACCTGGGACTTATGAAAAGCCTGAGAGCCAAAAAAGCGATCTTGTCACTGTCATTGACCTCCAGAATCATCCGAGCCTTATCAGCGATGCCCCTTTGCTTCGAAAAGAACTCCACAGCAATTCGTCGATTGACATGATGCGGACACAGACACCTTGCCTTGCCAGCCAAGCCAGCTCTCCAATCTGCGTTCTGCCGAGAGAAGAGTCTTTCTTGATGACCGCAATCAAATTGCAGCCCCTATCTTGTGCCACTGTCACCTTATCAATCCACATTTTGAAAAATTGGCATCCACCATCAACAACCTGACCATAAAGGTGGTGGCAGTGACATTTGCCATCCTGCCAATCAGCATGAAGTCCATACCCTTCAGCCTTGTCGTCCGCCAAGTACACGCAGGCTGTCGTAAAGTCTCGATACATTTCCAGCCATGCTGTACCACACATTCCCGGAAAAGTGATGACCACATCCTCCCCTCGCTGGAATGATTCGTTTGGAGAGCCATAGAACGACTCCCAGGAGAGGTCATCAGCATCCTCTTGAAGGAAGTTATTGACCACATCCAAGCGCTCCCGAGCATGAAGTGTTGATTCGCTGTGCGACGTGGTACGGTCTTTACGTTTACAGTCCCTGGTCGCCGGTTGAGCCCCTCTGCTGTGACTTGACTTGATCAAACACCGCAGCAGTGGATCGATTCAGATCTCATTGAATTTACCCTCCCAAAATTTAATATGGAACCTGAGATTTACCATATCCAAGAGGAAAAGAATCTTTCAATCCCATTTTTTGGGGGTTCCATGTTAAATTTCAGGAGGGTATCATTGGGAACAAACCGTATGATCTTCAAATGTAAAATCCCTCACTGGCAGAAACCTGGGATAGCACTTGTGAAGTACCTAAAACTGCCAACCCGGGATCATCGAGGATAAACTAACCCAAACTTGTGAAGATGTCAAGTCACATGAGGACTAACTCCGACGCAGAAACCGGACAGTCAGAGCAACTTCCTCGAAGTTTGACTCCAACTGCCTCCATGTCGCTGCTTGAAGCTTGATGCTTGATGTGAGTTGTCTGTCTTTGGCCTGTGGCATCTTGGACGATGCCTTGCTGTGCTAAATGTGAAGCTGGTGCTTGGGAGATTTCGCAACTTCACGATTCCCGTACGAGGCGCATTGACAGTCGAAAACCCGCAAAGTGATATCGACAAACCCTTTATCTCTGCGGTTGATGCACGAGCTCGTCCGGCTGGGACTCAATAAACCGGATGAAAGCCTGCCATGAGCGACAACCATTTCTACATAAATACAGGCGGTGCTGACTCGAACATGCCACCGCAGCTCCCAGTCCGTCTCCGCACCTGCTGCAATTCGCAGTGGGCCTTTTTCGCTCGGCAGGTCTCGACCTCGTGCAGAGCATCCCTTGCAACAGCTCACGGTATGGACCATGGCCTTTAGTCCACTAGTCTCGTTCTCCCTATCCCTCAGGCCACTGCCCGCAACGCGAAATTCTGCGCATCTTCCTCGTTGAAGCGAAGTGCAAGTCTCTTCACCTCAATCAGTCAGAACTCAACCTCGGACTGACGCTGCTCTGCTGCACCTGCTTGCGAGACCCATCCTCCAGCTCAACGATGTACCGGGATGAAGCTGCCTTGCCATTCTACAACCACTGAGTTCTGGGATTAAGAAAGCTGTGCATTCCCGGTTGCTCTACAAATCTGCAACAAGGGATCCAACACGTCAGGCCTCGTAGCCCAAAACCCAACAAGGCAACATTCGCCATTCCTGTGCTGCATAGTGCAGGACAGCGGCCTTCGTCGAAACGGCGCACCACAGGCAGTGCAATCGGGCTACCAGTCTACCAGTCCCACGAGCCTGGGGCTTCCCTGCTGTCGGGCCCTGTTTGCAGAGCGCAAGCCACTCCTGCCAGCTGCACAGCATGTCACGCAGATCTCGCCGTGGGGGGGTATAGAGCTTGGGAGATTCGTGCAGGCCTCCGGTGTATGGACCTCGAAGTCCATCGGACTGTCCTTTCTCTTGGCAAAATGCTCCGCTCAAACACATCACATCGTCACAGAAGAGACACGGAGAATGCGACCGAGCTGCAAAAGCCTCCAGCGGAAGACCCGCAGTCGCCTCAGGCTGTGACCCCACACACCAATCCGGAGACCAGGAAAGTGAGAATTGAGTGGCAGGCATCTTCTTCATCCTTCGGCGGCAAGAACTCTCTTCCATCCGCTCCACTGGGGCTGGTTGGCTCCTGCCAAAGGAACACAACTACTCAGCCAAGTTCAAGACGGGCCACCTCAAGTGAGGCTGCCTTTGGAGGGGCCAGGGAGCGAAGCCACGCATTGAAGTCGCCGGCACCCGCCTCAAGGCCACTTTTGTCACCCCTCTGCAGCCGGTCATGCAATCCCTGTCTAAATTACCTCTTGCGCTGGAAACCTGTGATCACACCCCTTGCCTCAGGCGCTCGGTCCGGGTAGCCTTCCTGACGGTGAGTCAGAGGGTCGAGGTGAAACGTCCACCAACTCCCTGGAACCAAACGAAGCTGAACTAGCAAATGTCCGGTTGTTCACAAACCTAGTGAGTGCGCGCCGCCGTGGCGTCAGGTTGCCCGCTGACACGCTGCGATATTGCTGAAACCAACTTCGCAGAATGCTTTTCGTAAGAGCATGCACGTGAAAATTTGGGTTTTTCTTGCTTCGGCAGAAGGACTGCATTCCCGTCCTGTGCCCTGGCACTCAGAAACCCGGCAGATGCCTTCAACCTGGCACAAAATTGGGCGCAAAACTCGCTGCTCGCAACAGACCATGCAAACGAAGGTGTAAGCAGGAAAAACAAGGCAGATTCTTGCTGAGCCGGGAATGAAGTCTAGCCCGCGTTTAAGATGAGAGGCCCTGCGCTTAAACATTGACATGGCACAATCACTTCCCGCAAGCGCCTGTTGGCCGATGGGTCAGGGTCACTTCGAGGAACAGAACGGATCTGTCAGAAGCTGCAGAGGCTGGAAAAATCCACATTGAGGTGATAAGCCAGCACAGACACTAATGTATTCTGCCGCGGTGGCGCACTATGCTCAAGCTGCTGACTCTCTCACTGCTGAAGGAGATTTGTTGACGCCTTGCGGCTGCTACCAGAATGGAGCCCTCCAAGCTTCTCGATTTCGCCAGAAAAATCCGTACCTCGAGCACGACATGAAGAAACAACATGCTAAGATGTATAAGCTATCACTAATCCCGGTGCAGCAGGCTCTGAGAACAGTGTGAGGACGGCACGCTTGAAGTTGGGCACGCTGATTTTCAGCCGTGGGCCAACCTGGCATGTGCACTAAAGTTCAACAGCCCAACTGCAGCAAACCACAGGCGATCCTTCGGCTGGTGGGAAGTCATCGCTGCACAACCATCATGCTAAACGTGCTTTCATCTTTCGAAACCATATTCAATGTGAACGAAAGCACTGACCCCGTCCTGTGAGATTGTTTTTCTTCATCAGCGTGTTTGTGTCGAAGCTAGATGCGAACTAAAACAAGTTTGCTGAAGCTGTTTAATCTCGTCAGCTCAACAATAACTCATTCCAAAGCGGTGATAAAAAAAAAAACATGCAACTGCAATAACCATCCCTACTTCAACCGTGGAAACAGGACTAAGCTAAACGACAACTCGACGGTATTTGGACATGCTCCCGTGCGACCGAATATGTTTCGTTGATCAAGTGATGCTGTCTGATAAAGCCAGCCAACCAGACATGGTCGAGTTCGCTTTACAAAATCGTGGTGCATCAACTGCGTACACTGCATGCTTTCGCATTGAGGCTTTGCGACGATCTCGGCATGCACGCCATCTGTTGCCATGTGCTTGCGGCTTTTCAAAATCCCCCATTAATATCTTAGCTTTTTGAAACCCTACTGTTGTTTCACATTTGTAGCTAAATTCAACAAGAACGAACCATTCGTTTCGAGGTGTTTTACATTTCTTCTTTTTCCCTGGTGGGCTGCAATGTGGTGCCTGTTGCACCTGCCGGCTGAACAACACACAAAAAAATGTGCGCTTGCCGTCAAGTTTTGGAAAACCCAAAGGCCAGCATTTGGTTTGTTTTCTTCTAATGACGTGCCACAACAAGAGACGTGTTGTTTGCTGTTATATTTCTCTTTTTTGCAAGCGCAGAGCACAACGGTGGGTCCCCTCTGAAGCGACCTGCCAGAGACGAGTCAGATGAAACAAATAGCCTGAAATATGAGCAAGTCGGCTTGATGTTGACAAGAACATGAAGCTCTAGAGTGAAAAAAAATGATTTTGATTCAAAACAAAGCAAGCAATTGGCAACAGTTTGGAGCTACTCAAACAAAAAAGGAAAACGGCCGCTCCATTTTTGCGGTTCAGACTCGAAAGTGGCTCTGGCACCAAAATAGGCTCAAAAATGGATCGTTTTCTTCGTCTTTGAGAAATGTGTCAACACTGAAGGCACCAAAACAGGTTCGAATTACATGCCAATTTTTGATCTTGCTCATTCTTTTTTGAATTCTCAATCCAACAAAACCACCACAATCTCTTTTTCTTGGCCGGTTCACTCACGTTCAACAGTTTTGACAGACTCAAGGTTTGGACCTTCCGGAACCTAGCGCATGCGTAGCCGAAGAGTAAAGCGTGGTGCTGCCGCATGGAGACATCCTGTCTCATGCTTACCGCTGTTCGATATCCGCAGGTTGTTCAATGGAGTCTTGTTACTTCACACTCGGGTTCCGCATTGGGAGGATTGCAGCTCCCACTGAAAACCGAGTGCGCACTCTCCACTGCAGGCCGATGGCCCCCGATTCCTGGAGATTCTTAAGTCCAGAAAAGGACATGCAACGAAAGACACAGTAATCCGCCGATATGGTAGTCTCGGTTTTTATCGACGGCTCTGCAGTACGTGTGGGCATCAGGGCTCCGCAACACTGCAAAGAAGAGGCGTGCCGCTCCGGCACTCAGACCGCCATGACGAAGAAGCTGCCATCTCGCACCAGAGGTGCGGTGACCAGCTTCTGCCGCCTGCAGCCAAGCGACGAGCTCGTCCACAAGTAGCCACACTTGTGGTCGTGGTCAAATGCCTTGTCCTCAGGCGCTGTTGCAAGTGCCGTAACATGGACGATTTGCTCTTTCTGATCGGTTAGCCCGGCATTGTTGATTCCAGGCAAGCTCGAAGAAAACTTGATGGCTGGATGAGAACCAGAACCATGCGCTTGCTGCGGCGCGTTTCCGTAATAAAGATGTGCAAGAACTGAACAAAAACAGCGGAGGTCCTTGGGACGCCAGGAGGCTCATAGTCGACGCCTCCGTCTGGCGATTGCTGAACGGTACTGGGCCTGTCACGCCTCGGCTTCTCAGGCGCGCGGGTCGGGCAGCACACACACCCCAGGCCTGGTGATGGGCCGCTGGCAGCGGCGCGGTCATGCTGCAGTCGTTTGTTGATGGCCGTCTCTCAAGGTCTTCCATCTGTGGGAAGTCGGGATTAAACCCGGGCCATTCGGCTTTGCGGTTGCTCACATGCCAGGGCAGGCTTAGTTGCGAACGGGGTGGAGTCCAGGTGGAGGTTCTCTGTCACATTGGTGGTGTGCGGCCTTGTTATGGTGTGCGCACACGCGAACTGCGCCGGTATGTGGGTTTTGACTGTGCTTGTATGTCAGTGCGCAGCAAGCGCCTGGAGAGAGCGCGGCCTGTGCGGCGCTTTGATGTGCGAGGCCCGCCTCTTGCGGTTATGCCGGGCCTAACCTTGCTCGCTGACCTGCTGAGGTCATCGTCATGGCCCGTGGAACAATACCCGGGCCATTCGGCCTTGCGGTCGCGGACTTGCTAGGGAAATGTGCCACATGCATTACCTGGCATGCGGCCAATCGATGCAAGCTTCGTTAGCCTGCTGAGCAAGGGGCGAAAGGCGTCACACCGCGCAATTTTGGAAGGCACTATATGTCTGGTGTGTGTCGCACGTGAGGAGTGAGCCGTTTTGGGAGGTGTCGTGTTGCACTTACTGGTTGGTGCCGGTCCACGCAGTGGGCAACGCACATTCCATGGATATCATGAGCGCAGGCGATCTCTGATTGAGTTGAAGCCTGTCAGGTACGACATGTTGTTTTGTTCGCTGGAGCTCCTCATTCCACTTCTGCAAGATCTCGTGGTGTTATGCAGCCAGTCTGCAGTGTCACGGCATTTGCTTTGCGTTATAGGGTGGCTACCTGCGGGCTCGTTGTTATGCACGATCTTGGCTCAGATTGCGAGTTTGCAGGACGCCTTCTCTGCCATGTTGCAGCGCTTGGGCAACAAAAAGCGACGGCTGTCTGCCTCGACGCCGACGCCCTCGTCGTCTCTTGTTACGCCGCGTGAACATTGTGCCGGCATGGATGGCCACTTTGGTCGCCAGGCGACCTCAGGAAAATGAGTTGCGGCCAGTCTTCTACAACCTGGTGGAGATGTT